GAGCTTTCTGATTGGCAGTATTCTTATGTTTAAGTCAGCCTTAACCATTGGACTGTAATGCATCCTGACTCTATGGGAAGAGTATAATAGAAGGTCCTTATTTGGTACCCCTGGATGCTGTCTTATTTGATTTTTTCCCCTGGCTAACTGTAATATTCATCTTTTCCCTGTAAGAATCCATATTCATACGTATAAAAACATTTAGTGAGTTCTGGGAGTCTTTTTAGTGAATTACTAAACATAAAGGTAGTTTTGAAAAACTCCCCAAGTTTGCAGTTTTTGTGATGTGAGGGCAGTCTTCTGTATACTAGCCCTTTAAATTTTGTAATTGATTAAACTCTTCACAGTGCTCAATATCAAACACCTAGGAGTGTTTATATCTACATATTGAAATATTCTTGCATAGGAATTTTGTATAATATGTATAAAAGTACTTAATCTTATTTTTCTGCGATGATATGGAGAGTAACTTGGGTAGCTGAAATAGGAAAGGGACAGACAACTACAGTTTTGATAGGAATCTGCAAGGCTGTATCTGGCAGAGGTACAAAGGAGGATGGTCCTGATAAGACTATGAAAGGTGGCAAGAATCATCTGGAATGAAAAGAAAGCCTATGATGTAGATAAACAGTCCTTTATAAAAGTTTTTAAAATGAAGACTACAAACCATTAGTGAGCTGTAAAATATAATAAGCATTTACAAAAAAGAACCAGAATACAAATTATCATAGCATCATGACAAGCAGGAAAGGTGTCATTACAAGAAATCCCTACTAAAGTCACCCATCGAAATCTATCCTCATGAAAAATGTTTGTCTAACCCAGATACCCATAATAAAATATGTTTCTTAGTGTGGTTTGCATTCATAAAACAGTCAAAATTCTGATCAGGATATTACCAAGTCCTGAATGAAATGAATCATTCAATTGGAAAGTTAACTTCAGATGGTTCAATCTTGGAAAATATCAATCGGTAAGTGTGTACCTGACTGGTACACACTGGCACATGGACATATTTAAGACACTAAACCTTATAAATAAGAGGTTTTTGGGGAGAAGGGAGAGTCTCTTTCAGGATGTGTATACTGACAGGGCAGTTTCCCACTTACTTCCAGTTCATAAAGTTCGCCAGTCTAAAATACAGCACTAGATCTTTATAAAAATAAAAACTGTGTAGTTTATATTTATTAATGTTTTCAACAATTAAATTTGTATAAAATAAAAATGCAGAAATATGTATATTTTTGAAGAAAGATGACCAAAAACATAGTCAACGTTCAGCTGTGTGGCCTGTGTCACCCTCATCCACATTCTTCCCTCTCTAGGAGAAGGAAGGAAAAACCTGGGGACAATGACATGCATATAGAATTTGGAAAAGGCAAAGGAGCTGCAGATTGGATAAATGTTTCAAAGGAAATGTAGCTGGAAATCAGGAAATTGAGATTTCATTCTCCACATGTAGGGAAGCTGCCTGAGAAGTAGACATCAGAATCCTCAATCAACAAGGATTTCTTGCCAGAAAAGAAATATGCTCCCTATCGAAAGCTACAGAGTAAGGCACAGGGGAAGCAAGTTATGCAGTGTGGCCACAAAAAGAATGCTTAGAAGTTTCCATGGGATGTGGGTCAACTGCATACACATAAAACACAATTATCTCAAAGGAAGCCAAGCAAGTTGAAATTGGACTGACAGCCATCTGCCGACAAAAAAAAATGTTCTGCGATATACAATTGGCCCTCTATATATGTGGGTTTTGAATCCATGGATTTGACTAACAGTGAAACCAACAATAGTTGGGGGAAAAGATTTTCACAAAATTCCAAAAAGCAAACTTGAATCAGCTGCACTCAGGGTACTGTGCTAAACCCACGTAAATTAAGTGATGTATAAGCATTGCATTTGTTATTATAAATAATTTAGAGACAATTTAAAGTATATGGGAGGATGTGCTTAGGTTATATCCAAATACTTCACACATATAAGGGACTTGAACACCCTTGGATCTTGGTATCTGTGGGGAGTCCTGGAACCAAAAGCTCGTGATTACTGTGGGATGAATATATTTCATGTACTCTGATTTGTGTATCATTTACTAGCTATCTCCATGATTCCTACAGACAGCAAAGTCCCCACATACGTGAACTCATTCATCCCGATAACAAATATAGATACCTGCCATGTACGGGGTGGGGGTGGGGGTGAGTAGTGTAGGCACTAAAGACACAGCCATATACAAAACAGGTAATCTCCTCCTTCTGGAGATTACATGGCAATAAGGAGAGGTGATCAGTAAACAAAAAATATATGAGAAACAATAAATGCAGGCCGAGAAGAGTACAGCTAGAATGCTATTTTAAATACAGTTGTTGGAGACAGCCTCTGTCATGTTAAAAGTGAGCAGAGATCTGAATAAACCGAAGGAGGGGCCAGAAGGATTTGAGGGGAAAGGGCACTCCAATCAGAGAGAAGAGCAGAATGAAGAGTCGTGAGGCAAAAGCTTTTGTAGTAAACAAAATAATGTTTCCTGAAAGATGTCCACACCCAACCTCCAGGACTTACGAATGGTTATGTTACACAGCAAGGAGAATTAAGGTTGCAGATGCAATTAAGGTCACTTGTCGGCTAACTAGAAAATAGGAAAATCTTCCCGAGTCCTTCGGGAGTGACCAACACAATCACAGGGGACCTGAAAGGTGGCAGATGGAGGCATAAGCAGGGAGGCGCAGGGAGCATGACTGTAGAAGAATGGTGAGAGATGCAAAGTTGCTGCCTGTGAAGACGGAGGAAGGGAAATGAGAGCCAAGGAGTGTGGACAGTTCGTAGACACTGATAAAAGTGAAGGTTCCTTCTCAAGAGCATAGCAAAAAAACAAAGCCTTACAGATGCCCTGTTGCCCAGTAAGATATGTCAGACTTCAGGCCTAAAGAATAGAAAGATAATAAATGTTTGCTGTTGAATCCACTAAGTTTGTGGTAACTGGTTACCAAAAACAGGCAATACAATGTCTTTGGCAGGACCGAGAAACAGCAGGAAGGACAATGCAGCTGGAAATGACAGACCAAGAGGGAGAGGACAGGAGGTGTACTAGTCAGAGAGGCAGTGGGGGCAAAGAGCAGAACACAGGGTCTCTAAAAGCCACTTAAAGAGCTTGTAACATTAATAAAAATAAGAAGCCATAAAGGCTGTTGGACAGAGGAATGGCAATCTGACTTATACTTCTTAGGGATCACTTTGGCTGCTATGAAGAGGACAGATGCCAGGGTGGGAAGGGTGGGATCAGGACAAGCAGCCAGAAGGCAGTTTTATTAATCCAGGAAAGAAGTTTGGTAATCTCCCAGAGCAAGGGAAACCGGCATGGACAGAAGTAAACAGATAGGAGAGTCATGTACAGGGACATACAGTCGCTTTGTTCTTACCTGAATTCCCTCCTTTCTGGGTTGCCGTCTTCGGCATCCACAACTTTTCTTCTCTTAGAAAGTGGAATACATCTCGGTGAAATGGTTGATGCCCTGTGAACATGCCAAATAACATCCTTAACCCAACACAATTCTAGGTAAAATTTACTGGAAATTTAGGTTGCCACTGTATACTCAAATTTAAATATCCAAGGATATAAAGTCACTGCTGGGACCTAATGTTCCATTACAAAGGGTGGCTGTCCTCACCCAATGAGAGCAGGTTCCTGAAGTTCTCCACCATCACATCTCGGTACAGCTCCCTCTCGGCAAGGTCCAGCAGCCCCAGCTCCTCCTCCGAGAAGACCACAGCCACATCCTTGAATGTCACTGCCTCCTATAATACCCAACATATGCAACCTCAGTGTCATGACCAATGATTACTGGGAGAGCAGTGGCACTGAGCGGGCAGAGAAGACAGGTGAGAAGTTGTTCTTGATGTCCAGGGATGTAGGTCAACTTACAGATTCGCACTCATTCTGTCTCTATCCTGAGAATGACACACGCTGATTTTCCTGAGCTCCTCCAGAAGTGCAACAACGAAAGAGAAGTCTTGGACTTTTACTTCGTGCAATCATTGAATCTACTTGTAAACAACCCTATCGGACTCTAAATGCTGTATCCCGGGCTACCTGTAATTAGATCTCAGTGACTCTTGCTAAAAACCCCAGCGACATATAGCAATTCAGTCCCAACCTGTTTGATAATGCCCAATGTCCCCCTCTCTCAAACTTGAATCCTGGATGCTATCACTTTTCCTTAATATCTGCAAGCTAACAGGCTTAAGGTGATCTGTGTGGGACAGCTACACAGTGGGTCCTCTGTATACCTATGGCAAAAACTGGATACATTAACTGCATCATTCAATGTCATGATGTGGAACCAAGTGCCTCAGAGCACACCCCAAGGTTCTTTCCCTTCCCAGTATTGGGACCTTGGACAAGTACACCTACATACATTAGTTCCCTCTCTATGTAATAAATCTAACATGAGGCCGGGCGCAGTGGCTCACGCCTGTAATCCTAGCATTCTGGGAGGCCGAGGAGGGCAGATCACTCAAGGTCAGGAATTTAAGACCAGCCTGAGAAAGAGCAAGACCTTGTCTCTACTAAAAACAAAAACAAATTAATTGGCCAACTAAAAATATATACAAAAAAATTAGCCGGGCATGGCGGCACATGCCTATAGTCCTAGCTACTTGGGAGGCTGAGGCAGGAGGATCACTTGAGCCCAGGAGTTTCAAGTTGCTGTGAGCTAGGCTGACGCCACGGCACTCTAGTCCAGGCAATGGAGTGAGACTCTGTCTAAAAAAAAAAAAAAAAAAAGCAAATACAAAGTCAACTCAAGAGGGAGAAAGAAGCACCTGTCATACAACAGGTTCTCAAATGTCTGTTGTTCTCCTTGAGTCTTCCTAAGAGAGAGAAAACTATGTGACAATCTGAGTAGTGAGATGGAATTTTAACAGCAAGAGGCAAGTCCTACTCACCTTCAACATCACCATTTTCTCCTATTCAGGAAATTTGTAGATTCTTGAGTTATGCACTTCGTGGGAATGCAAAATTGTTCCTGAAAAGTGCTAAGGAGGGCAAAAAAGGAGACATGAAAAGGTGGCCAGGGATACCACTCACCAACATGAATGTGCACTGTGGATCAGCACATGAATGTTCATAGCCACGTTATTCATAATATCCCCAAACTGCCCAGGACCAAAATGCTGTTTTATGGATAGACAAATTGTGACACATCCACACAATGGAATGTTACTAGCTATTAAAAGGAATGAAGTACGGCGGGGCACAGTGGCTCACACCTCTAATCCTAGCACTCTGGGAGGCTGAGGTGGGAGGATCGCTCAAAGTCAAGAGTTCAAAACCAGCCTGAGCAAGAGCAAGACCCCGTCTCTACTAAAAATAGAAAGAAATTAGCCGAGCATGGTGGCGTATGCCTGTAGTCCCAGCTACTCAGGAGGCTGAGGCAGTAGGATTGCTTGAGCCCAGGAGTCTGAGGTTGCTGTGAGCTAGGCTGACACCACGGCACTCTAGCCCAGGCAACTCTCAAAAAAAAGGGAATGAAGTACTGACTCATGCTACAACATGCATGAACCTTGGAAACATGCTAAGGGAAAGAAGCCAGTGACAAACCACAGATTGTGTGATTTCATTTATATGAAATGTCCAGAGTAAGCAAATATATATAGAAAGTAGGTTAGTGGTTTCACTGGATTGGCGGTGAGAATGAGGTTCAATTGAAAGAAGGCATGAAGAGTGCAACTGGGGGATGAAAATGATCTAAAAACTGAATTTTGGGGATGCTTGCTCCATTCTTCAAAGTCCCTAAAGATCACTGAATTGTACCTGAAATGGGTGAATTCTACGGTATATAAAATACACCTCAATAAAGCTCAACAAAATAGTTGCTAATCTACATGTCATTTAACTTAACAAGACAGGATTCTTCATCCACATTGATAGAATACTTAATTTGAATGAATGAATAAATAAATAGGAAGAAGCTCATCTTTACAGTAGAATGCCAACTAATAAGGTATCTCCCCATAAGAAATTTTATTATTTTCAAAGCTTTGTGGAAGCTGTAGTAAATGTTAAGCTTCTAATGTATTCCTTATAGTAAATCTTTGTGTGTATTTGTACATTTATAAATGTCTTAACAAAATTTTTATCATGCCTTTCTTAATGTTTTCTTCTTTAATTATGGAAATTTCCAAACATGGCCAAGAGAGAAAAAAACCAGTGAACTGCCCTGTTATATCACCTCATCTTTATTATTTCCATTATTATTATTATTTATTCCTATGGCTCTTTCCCAATATTTTAAAACTTTATTTTTATAGCATTTCAAATCTATAAAAAAGTTGCAAAAATGGTATAAGAGATTCTCATATACTCCATGCAAATTTGTCAATTGTTTATATTTTGCCTACTTGCTTTGCTGTTCCCATCAGCCAAATACCACCAGGAACATGTCTGCAACCAGAGACAGTTTAATGTAGCTCTTTGAGGCAAGGAAGCCAGCATACAGAGTACTCACAGGGTATCTTGGTAAGAGGCATTTAGGAATGGCTGGTTATAGAGTTCACATAACATGCTAGATAATATTAAATATTATACTAGACAATATTGCTATATTAAATATTAGATAACTATTATGTGACTAATAGTAGTTAATTGTGTTACCTATTAAATGATGTTATATAACATAGTAGGTTTCATGTTTTCTATCCATAGTTCCATATTTAAATTTGTTATGTTTTCATTTAAAATTCTTACAACCGTTTTTTCCCTCAGTTCAAAGTCCAATTTTTTATGTTGTCTTTGGGTGTCACATTACTGTGATCTTCTTTAATGTTAACTGATTAATGAGAAATAAAAATGCCTTTTTATTCTTGATGTTTTTGAAGAGTACAGGCAAGGTATTTTGGAAAAAAAAGATTCATTTGGGGTTTGATACATTTCACATTTAGGTTCACATTATCTATGATTGGTAGGATTACCAGAGAAGTGCTCAAGTGTCCTTTTGATTGAACCATAACATAGGCCAAGTGATGGCGGTCTGTCCCTTCACTGGTGATCTCAACTTTGTTCACTTGGCCAAGATGATGTCTTTCAAATTTGTCTACTGTAATGTACCTATGATCAAATAACTTGTGCTCCCTGTGTCCTACTCTCATCTTTAAGATGGAAAAAAGCAGTACCTCTCTGCAGAGCCACCCCGTAGTGTAAATGTATTTATCTGTCTAAAGCCCTTACAATTGAAATTAGCAATTAAGGCTTAATTATTATCAATATGCATGGCGATTACACATCCTACAATAGATCTGAATGTTACTATAAAAGAAAACTGCCAAGTCTCACTCACCCGGAGCTTTGTTGTCAGCAGTCAGAGCCACTCCCTCTACTTCTCTGGGGTCCTTTTTGTGAAGTCAGGCTGTGAAAGGAAAGAATGCTGTGAAATACCAGGATTGCATCACCCTTCTTGACAAAAAGGTTAACTCCTCCCCTTCTTCCATGGAAGCAGAAGATACCCCTCCCATTCCTAAATAAGAGGTCAGAAGGTGTCCGGGATTATGCAGCGTCCTGCAGGGATCAGAGAGAAGGGCCAGGGACACTGCAGCTGGAGCTCTGTCCCCAACCAGGGAATTGACCGCTTCCCGCCAAATTAACAATAACAATAGATCACCACTCACCACGTGAGAGGAACTGTCTTAAAACTTTCACCTGTATGCTGCCTCTTTCGGTTCCCAGAACAATTCTATTAGAAAGGTCTTAATATCCCCATTTAAAGAATAGGAAGGAGAGAACGAGCAAGACAAAGTTTTTTGTGTTTTTTTTTTTTTTTTGAGACAGAGTCCCACTCTGTTGCCCGGGCTAGAATGCCATGGTGTCAGCCTAGCTCACAGCAACCTCAAACTCCTGGGCTCAGGCGATTCTCCTACCTCAAGCCTCCCGAGTAGCTGGGACTACAGGCATGTGCCACCATGCCCGGCTAAATTTTTCTCTATATTTTTAGGTGGCCAGCTAATTTCTTTCTATTATTTTTTTTAGTAGAGACGGGGTCTCGCTCTTGCTCAGGCTGGTTTCGAACTCCTGGAGCTCAACCGAACCACTCGCCTCGGCCTCCCGGAGTGCTAGGATTACAGGAGCGAGCCACCGCTCCCGGCCGAGATTAAGTATTATTAACTCCCCAACGTTATATCGCAGCGATTGGCCCCGCGCCACTAAGGGAGGAAGGCGGACTGGGCGAGCTCAGAGCCCCAGAAACCCACAAATCAGGCGTTACCCTCGACCAAGTCCCCAACTCCCCGGAGAGTCCCCCGGTGTCCAAACGCAAGAGGCGCCGCCCGATGAGATCGCAAACCACAGCCCTCACCCCTCCAAACCTCGGCCGTGGCCTCTTTTCCCCTAAATCGATAGCTGGTTCATTGAGGGTTCCAGTGTATGTCGAAAAAATTCAGAAGGGACCGCGAGCCTGAGAACAACGCAAACAGCACAGGAAAAATGGTAGCAACCGCGCTCTGGGAGCGGAAGTGCCCGCTTCGCCAAGCGCGTTTGGACTACACTTCCCAGAATTCTCTGGGTCCACCCGCCGGAGTGAAAGTGCCTGCGCGGGCTGGGAGGCCCGGAGGCTTCCCAGAATGCCGAGGGCAGAACGTCCCAGTCCCTTCTCCTGCAGGGGGAAACGTTGTGACTACTTGGAGCTTTTTTTTTTGAGACAGAGTCTCGCTTTCTTGCCTAGGCTAGAATGAGTGCCGTGGTGTCAGCCTAGCTCACAGCAACCTCAAACTCCTGGGCTCAAGCGATCCTCCTGCCTCAGCCTCCCGAGTAGCTGGGACTACAGGCACGAGCCACCATGCCCGGCTGATTTTTATATTATATATATTAGTTGGCCAATTAATTTCTTTCTATTTTTATGGTAGAGACGGGGTCTCACTCAGGCTGGTTTCGAACTCCTGACCTTGAGCAATCAGCCCGCCTCGGCCTCCCAGAGTGCTAGGATTACAGGCGTGAGCCACCGCGCCCGGCCTACTTGGAGCTTTTTGATTACACTTCTACAATGAGGAACGAATCCCACAGTCTCAAGGTCTTGGGTGGAAATGTGGTCTTGCACTGACAGTCGTCCTTCCCATTCCCTGAGTCCTCTAGCAAAAATATTCCATAGACACGAATTCCTGACGTCTAAATTCCTCCAATTATGACAGGAGTATTATTGGAAAGGGAACAAGTGAGGAGATACAATCTTCAATTAATGGGAAATAACTGTTCAGGGGTCAGACAACTGAGAAGGCGGCTAATGTTTAGTAGAATATGGTGATATGAAGCTAAAACTGGATGACCGAGATAGGATGGTATGTAAATACAAACAATCTCCCCAACACACCCCCTCCTCACCACTCTACTGGTAACCACCATTCTACTCTCTACTTGTATGAGGTCAACTTCTTTAGATTCCATGTGTAAGTGAGATCATGAGGTATTTGTCTTTCTGTGTCTGGCTTATTTTACTTAATATGCTCCAGGTTTATCTATGTTCTGACACATTACAGGATTTCCGTTTTTATGTCTTAAGGCTTATAATATTAAGCCTTAAGTAGTATTCCATTGCATATACTTATCACATTTTCTTTATCCATTTATACACTGATGGACAGTTATAACAGGGTGGTTCCATATCTTGGTTATTGTGAATAATGCCGCAGTAAACATGGGAATGAAGATATCTCTTTGACATACTGATTAATTGCCTTTCGATATGTACCCAGTAATGGGATTGCTGGATCATATAGTAATTCTATTTTTAGTTTTTTGAGGAACCTCCATACTGTTTTCCGTAATGCTTGCACTAATTTGCATTCCTACCAACAGCGTGCAGTGTTTTCTTTTCTCTACATTGTCACCAACACTTATTTTTTGTCTTTCTGATATCAGCCATTTTAACAGGTGTGAGATGGTATCTCAATGTGGTTTTAATTTGCATTTCCCTGATAATTGGTGATGTTGAATATTGTTTCATATAACACCAGCTGGGTGTCTTCTAACTCGATTCTAACACTAACTACCTGGAGATAACATCAGATCCCACAAGTTGAGGCTTAGTCCCCAAAACTGTCCTTCACCTTCAGACACTAGTAGCAAGTCTGGGCCTGTGGAACTTCTAACCAACTAGCTTGAAGCTGGGGTTCCCACAACCCCTTCTTTGGGTTCAATTAGTTTGCTTGAGCGGCTCACAGAACTTAAGGAAACAGGCTTATTATAAATGATTTTTAAAAGATACAGATGAAAAGATACATAGGGCATCAGATACTTTTCAGTAACAATGTGTTTTTCAGTGTTCAAGTGTTATTTCTATAAGTAGGAAAAAAATAAAAGTTTTTCTTTGAAAATAAAAAAATACCTCTCCATTTGGTTCAGATGTCTTTAAGATGCCAAACCAAAGCCACAAGGTTGTCTTTAGATATGGCATATATAGTAAAGCATGAAGTTGTTGGATGATTAAGATAGAGGTTGAGAATGACTTTAGACTAGAATATCAGCATGTGAAATAAATAGGAGATATTGAGGCATTAAATTCAAATTCCTAAATGGATATCTAGTCAATATAAACTTTAATAATGCAAGAAAACTTCCTCCTATAACCACTTTGGTAGGAAACCTTGCCCACAGCTGGCACTCATAGTCCACACGATAGTTTGTGCTGTGCATTGATAAAAATCCATTTTGCTCTTGTGTGATGAGGAAAGCTTTAAAGCACTGAAGCTTGTTTTACTTTACAGGCAGCTTTACTTGTAATGTAAATCAGAATAGGTAACATATACATATATGTTTTCATTACATTATTTTTAAATGTTCACAATTTTATTTTGATAAATGAAAAATTAGAAAAGTCCTATCAAGGCTGTAGGCTAATGTTGACATTCGGCTGTGCACGTTCATCTGTGGCTGTCGACTAGAGTCGATGCTGGTACCGAAGTGGTTAAACAGAAATGATAATAATTTGTAATATTCTCCTTAAAATATTAAAATGTAACTAAGGTCAAAGCTGTATTAGGGGAATTCCAGGGACAAGGAATAATAAAAAAAAATTCAAGTACAGAGTGATAATTGGGAGCTGAAAAGTAAGCTTGGGGAATTAAAGTCAAAATTAGAAACTCCATGTGCTTTGGAAGACATGAACTACACACGCTACAAATGAGAGAATTCTCTTCCCTTGGATATGAACAAAAACAAAAACCAAACAAACAAAAAAACAGGTACACCATAGGTGCCACTGTTATTAATATTTTGTGATCAATCTAAAGGCACAATAACTCAGAAGGCAACATGAAAAAGCAACATGTGGTCTTTTCATTTACAGGGAACAACAAATATTTAAAATTTAATCTACTGAAATGTTTCCAGTTTTAACTTCCCTTTAAATAGGGAAGAAAACCTATTCTGCTGGGAAGAAAAAAGAAAAACAATACTCAAAAGTCCTGGATTTCTCTTAACACCTGTGCAGAAGAGTTAGCATGGCAGGCCTGAGACTGCTATCCTTACAAAGTCCTGCCTAGAAGGCTGATGTCACGAAATATGGGTTTCACAAGGGCTCCTACCATTCTATTTTTATTTCCTTCTTTTTTTTTTTTTTAAACATGAAAATCTTAGTCCCAGAACCCATATTATACAACTCTAAGACTGTTAGGCTCACTGTGCCTAAACTGTACAATGTGGTATAATCTAAACACCTGCATTCCTTCTGAGGGTCTGAAATTTTGGTACATGCTAGACAGAGGATGCCTACATCACCAGCCCACAATAACAACCTGAGGCATTCTCTAATGAGCTTCCTAGAGACATTTCACAGTGTGGAATGTCTTTGGTCACAACTTCATGTTTTCTAAACAGTGGAAAAAGAAGTGAAGTTTCTCTGTTAAATAGGAAAGGACTAAAAATTCCTTTTTAACCCATATATATGGTGATAAGAAAAACATTGGTTTCTAGTTTCTATTAAGAAACACAAGATTCTAGGGGGAAAAAAGTATGATGCAGCCAATTTAGAAAACAGCTTCACAGTTTCTCAAAAATTATAGATAGGCCAGGCCCAGTGGCTGACACCTGTAAATCCTAGCACTCTGGGAGGCAAGGAGGGAGGATCGTTTGAGCTCAGGAGTTTGAGACCAGCCTGAGCAAGAGACTGGTCTCTACTAAAAATAGAAACAATTAGCTGGGCATGGTGGCACAGGCCTGTAGTCCCAGCTACTTGGGAGGCTGAGGCAAGATTGCTTGAGCCCAGGAGTTTGAGGTTGCTGTGAGCTAGGCTGACGCCATTGCACTCTAGCCTGGGCAACAGAGTGAGACTCTGTCTCAAAAAGAAAAAAATTAATATAAAGCTACCTGGCAATTCCACTCCTGGGTTTACTCAGAATAAATGAAAACATGTCTATACAAAGA